AAGCAGCGGCCAGAGGCACGGGTCCAACACCCTGGAGCAGGTCCCTGAGAGGGGGGCACCACCTCCGGCGCCCCAGCAAACAACGAGATCGAGAGACCCGCGCCGGCGGAAGCAGCAGCGGGACCCGAGCGGGATCCGCTCAGAAGGCAGGAAGGACCCGAAAGAGGCACCGGGAAAGACAAACACAAGCAGAGCACGAGGTGTGCAAAAACCGGGGCTATGGGGCGTGAGCGGAGGAGAGGATCCCACAGAATCCCCGGGGGGGCTCCGGGACAGGTCCGAGGGAGGAAAGAGCCCGAGCGGGACCAGCGGCGAAGGAGGGAGCGAGCGGAAGCCCAGCGGCAACAGCACGAGAGAAACCCGGGAACAGGGACCCCAGAGACAAACGGAGTGGGGCAGACACAAAGCTGCCGACTTCAGCAGTAGTCAAAGCAGCAAAACCCCCCTTCCTTGATTTTTTTCCTTTTTCTTTGCAGCCTTGTGAGAAATAAAGAATCGGTTTTATTACAAGCAAATATAAGGCGTATCGCGGAGTTGTAAGACGCCGGATTCAGCCCGGAACCGGTGTCAGGGAAACATGCGGACGGGAATAAGGAACTGTAAAATTACTATTAGTAAAGAAACCCCTTATGCCACATGGCTGATCCTGAGAGACGTCATACTGCTGGACACTCCACCTCCTAGCACGACACAGAGGGAAACGCCTCTTCTATGACGTAAACAGAGTTGAACCTTAAGAATGTTTAATAAGCGGGACTTTTGAATTGGAAGGGGTGTTCCTGGGAATCCTGTATGCCTAGGACACCCGACACGTGTTGTAATTTTTCCTTTTCGTTTTATTCCTTTTGTTTTGCAAGCTTTTGCCGTTTTTCTAAATTTAATAAAATGAGATTTTTCTCACAGCCTGAACTTAGAACTGGTCTTTTTTTGCAAACCTTTTTGTTTATTAACCTGTTTCAGTTTCACAGTGTGAGTGAGGCGAACAAAACGCTACCAATGGAGAGGTTGTCCCCCCGCGCAAAAACAAATAAACAAACAAAGAAAAAAAACCGGGAAAAGCGAAGGAAAGCAAAGAACCTTTGCTGAATGAAGATACCCTTCCATAACTAATAGCCAAAATTGTTTTAAAATGTATGCATAGCTGTATTTTTGAAAATTTTTAAGTTTTTGCAATAACAATTTTCCTTAAGTCCAAAAGCCAAATTAACACAGAAAGACATATATTTGCCTTAAAAATAGAAGAAGTATATATTTTATCCTTGAACTATAGGAATGTTTTTATGTATTTAAAATTTAAATTGAACATGAAGCAAAATATGTTTTTACAGGTTATACTATCATCAAAACAGAAAACATATATTACTAATCTGAGGGTGAGAAACAAAAAATGCCAATTTCTCAGTTCATAACCAAAAGACACTGTAAAATGAAACCCAAAGGTATGTTTGTATGATGTGTGTTCGATGGCCATCGAGTATGAATGTGTAAATGTATGCATGCGTGTGAATACGTAATAATTAATATGTTCTGATTTATACACAAATGCACATTACCTCACACATGCACAAACACCCTTAGATAAAAACCAGAAAACATATCACCCTGAGTTGAATAGAATTTCACTTGCAGAAATGTTTTAGGTTAAACAAATTTTTCAAAACCAAACACTAAAAAACACTTTCAGGTAAAAATCAGGAGCATACGAACCCTGAAGTCATCAAGTTATTAAGTTTGGTTCAAAATCAATTGCTTATAAGTCAATAGGATCTTTAGAAGATAGCTTAAATAAAGTTTTATAAAAGTAATTTCTAATAAGAAATAATGGAAATAAGTTGTTTAAACAAGTTTTATATTAATCCAGGGTTATTTAATTTAGCATTGTTGGGAATTTTTCCTTCTCACATGTTGTTCCTTGTTTACTTTTCTACATCCAGAAATGTTTGATAGTCTTTTTGATTGGTTAAATGTTTTTAATGTTAGTGCAAAGTTTAAGAAAATAATTTATGTAGCAATATGCAGAATGCCTTAAAAGAGCTGTGATTCCTCCACATGCCTTTATAATGCCAAACCTTGTGGCCCAAACTATTCTGACACACAATGCCTTTGCATAATCATACTTTCCATCTCAGGTATATAAAAGACTGTACATTGCCTTGAAAAAGGAGCCTCCTTGCTAAAATTAATTTCACTTGTGGTATTAAAAGTAAGACTGCAATGTTTCTTGTTAGATCCATTTAAGAATATCTTTGCTTCTAAAATGCAGCTATAAAATCTGTTATTCACTCTGAACCGATACATCAAAGCATTGATAAGTTGAAGAAAGAAAATAGTAATCAAAGCTTACATTACATGTTTAGTTAGCATGATAAATTTAATACTCTAGTTAAAGAAAACATTTATGGTAATATTTGTATTTCCTTGTATTTTGTCTTGCATTAGCAAACGTTTGATCAAAGTTTTTTCCAAGTTTTTTGTTTTTTAGAAAAATAAAAAAAAAGAAGGGGCAGATGTGGGAGCCCAAACCCAGCTTTCAGCAAAGGAAAACAAGGCTGACAAACATCTCGTGATTCAAGAAGTTTGGACCCTTGTCCAGAGACCTGTTGATGTGCAAACCGGAGATATAAACCTGGCTCCAAGAAGAATTAAGAAAGGACTTTTGGGGATGATTGTTAAAACTATGTCTAAATCCCTGTAATCCCTCTCTCCCCCATGTAATCCTACTAGAAGAAAAATTAACTATTTGGAAACTGCAGTAAAAACTTGTGTAATTCCCTAATTAACATAGGTTGTCCCCTTCATTAACATGTCCAAACGCAGATGCCTTTAAAACAGTGTTCTCGTGTTCAATAAACTATTCCAGTTCCCCCATACTGGGATTTTGTCTGGCTTTTATTTTTCAGACTGCCACTCTGGGTTACTTGTACCAGTTTTCTAACTGCAGTTTCATTCACTTCAAATGAAGCCTGTCCATCATGCCCACACTGCTGTTCACAGAGGGCTTCCACTCTCCACGCCCCCATCCAGGTTAGCAGCTTCCCCTACCCTCTAGCCCTGGCGTGATGCTCTTCCATAGCCCCACGGTTCCACTTCCATGAAGCCTACAGGGATCTGCCTGCCAGACTCAGGGGAAGGAGCAGAACTGAGAAATCAGCCCCATCTCTCTCCAGGGACAGGACAAAGCACAGCTCCAGCCCACCACCGCTGTGTCATGGGGAGAGATCTTCATCTTCCCCAGAGGCAGACAGCCCTTTACCCAGCCCACAAGTTAAGGGAGGATCTTAATTCCCCCTCTGCTCCAGGCTCAGGGCACAGACAGCTCTGGCCCCTCAGCTTTGTGTTCAGAGCACAAATGGCCTGAGCTTGGGCAGAGGAACCAGCTGTGCCAGGACACAGCAGCTGAGGCCACCTAGGGAAGCAATGAAGAAATATGGCCAGGGCTGGGGAACAATTCGTGACTGTCTCAGGAAACCCGGGTCTATCACAGCAGGGTGTCAACCTTAACATTGTCAAGCTTTACCTTCCAGTAAAGGACACGAGTGATCTTCAAAGACAATTCTCTGCAAGGGCTCAGTTGGTGAAGAGCCCGGTCAGTCTTTGCCTTTCGGCAAACTGTAAGACTGACTTTTTGGAGAGTCAATCTCTCCAAAAATTCGCTTGGCGAAGCGTTGAATGTCGCTGCCTGACAGAGCTCAGGCCGCAGGGAACAGGGTAGGATGAGAGGGAACAGGGAACTGAGGGTGTCGCGGCGCCAGCACCAACGCAACAGTCGCTGTCACAGTGTTCCAGTTGCCAGGCAACGGATGGAACGGAGCCGTGACGGAGCCGTGAAGGGCTGTGTGGGGCCGTAAGGGGCTGTGGGGCCGTGAGGGGCTGTGTGGGGCCGTGAGGGGCTGTGGGGCCGTGAGGGGCTGTGTGGGGGCCGTGTGCTCCAGCCCGGCCGGGCACAGCCGGGCCTTTGCTCCACAGGGACCCAGCGCCATCTCCCGGCGCTCCGCTCGGTTCGCTCCTGGGCACCTCCACGGACCCAGTTCAGCCCCGGCTGAACGGCGGGATTGGAGCAGCTCCCGGCGGGAGCGGGACGCGCAAAGTGCTCCATTTCTGCCCAAACACTTGGAGAATCACGGACTCACAGGATGTTAAGGGGTTGGAAGGGACCTCAAAGATCATCTTGTGCCACCACCTGCCGCTAGACCTGGTTGCTCAGAACCCCCTCCAGCCTGGCTTTTTGAGAGTTGCAGGGCTGGAGCATCCACAACCTCCCCAGGCAACCTGTACCAGTGTCTCACCACTCTCACAGTAAAGAATTTCTTCCTAATATCTAAGCCACATGTCCCCTCTTTCAATTAGTACCCATTACTCCTTGGCCTGTCACTACAGTTCCTGACAGAGTCCCTCTCTGGCTTCCCTGCAGGCCCCTCCAGGTACTGGAAGGTGCTACGAGGTCTCCACACAACCTTCTCTTCTGCCTGTCACTGACATGGGTTGTCTTACTCAGCTAAGCTCTGGGACAGTGGCTGATGTTGGGAAGCACCTTGGAAACAGAGCAATGGACAATGAAGGCTGAACCTTCCAGTCCCAAGAAAAGCTGGATTGTAATAATTACTGAGGCAATGGTAGCGCTCCCCTCGGGCTAGGGTTCAGGTAGCAAATGCTCCAAGGCTGTCAGGGGATAACTGATCATTGCCACTCTTGTCCTTCACCCCAGCCTTTAGCCAAGCAGCTGAAGTTCCCGCTACAGTCAGTGCTGCTACCACATTAGCCATGCAGAGTTCCTAGTGTGATCAAGGGACACTTCACCACCCCACCCATTACACAAAGGCCAAGGAATGGGAATTCCTAAGAGAGCAGAGCAGCCTGCGGAGGAATAGGGGCGATGTCTGATCACACCTGCTTTCCTGGAGATGGCTGAGCCCCAGCTCCCAACCAAGCACCACACAGACACCTGCTCACTCCCCTCCTGTGGATGTGGGAGAGAACTGGAAGAGTAACAGTGCGAAAACTTGTGGGTTGAGACACAGTTTATTAGGTAGTATGTGGATGACGTAGAGATGGGTGTTGGGGGTTGAAGAGCAGCTGGGGAGGCCTCTGGTGAAGGCTGGGAAACCATGAGCAGAAGAAGCCATGACACAAATGGTGTCACTCTGGTTTTGCTGACCGCTGCACCTTCTTTGGTTTGCTGCTCTGGGTTTCACCTTTTTGCAGTGATGTAGAGTGTTTCAGACCAGCCTTCTGCAAATAGCCTTTCCCCATCACAAACACCGATGGGCTCTTCTGAGATGGCTCCAGGTTAGGAATGCTGGGAAGAAAGGGACTGGTATTAGCCAGATGAACATTTCCAGCCAGCCAGCTGCTCGCCTGTCTCCTCACAGAGCACACAGTGTCACATCCTCTCTCCATGCAAGCAGCGAGCAGCAAATGAAACAGAACTGCACTCCCTGCCACGGAGGCAGCAGAGGTGGAAGGGCAGAAACACAACCAGTTATGGGCCTGGGGACCAACTGCAGCATATGGGGTTCCAGGTAGAGAAGGAGGCTGGGCTTGTCCCATAAGGAAGCATAGCTGGGGACTGGCTGGCCCCTTGGCAGCCATTCTGGATCTCCCATTCCAGATTTTGCAGCCCTCCAGGAGCTTAGTGTTTCATACAGTGTCTTTTCCCATTGTCTCCACACAGATCCATAGACATCTCCACAGACATCTGGCCTTGGCCAGATGATCATCTTTCTGTGCTCTTGGATGCTGTGTGTTCCTGCTGCCTCTCTGGGGCTGGCTGTCCCCAGGGCTGCACACTCACCCACCCCAGTCAGAGGGACTGAAGGGAGGATGTCAGAGGATGGACCAGGCTCTGCTTGGTGCTGCCCATCAATAGGACAAGAGGCAATGGGCATAACCTGATGCAAAACAAGTTCCACCTGAACGTGGGGAAGAACTTCTTTCCTGTGCAGGTGACAGGTTGTCCAGAGAGGGTGTGGAGTCTCCCTCACTGGAGGTATTCCAGAACCCTCTGGACACAATCCTGTGCCATGCGCTCTGGGATGACCCTGCTTGAGCAGGAAGGGTGCACCAGATGGCCCATCCTGTGATACCCACCAGGAGCATGGATTGGAAAGCACCTGGACATTTCTTACCTGCACAGCATTTCAGCCTTAAATTCCCCCACACGCGTCGGGCAGAATTTCACTTGGAAAATCTGATTTTGTCCAGCAGGGATGGTACCACAGTCAGGCTCAATGGAGAACAGCGGTGGGTCATTGAAGTCATCTGGATACAGTTCCATGGAGGAACTAACGTACTTCGAAAGGCAGGTCATCTGGCTTGAACGGCGCCGACTTGGCGTGGGCTGAGTAGAGTGGGGCCGACTTGACTGGGGCCGAGTTGACTCGAGCGGCGACGCCCAGTGCACCCGACTTGCACGATGCTTGAACCAGTGATCCACAGTATCAGAGGACAAGAAATAACCTGCAGGAGGGAAAAGGACATCTTTCAAAGACAAAATCCTTTGTTCCCAACAACTCTGCCTCCTGCTGCAGGTGGATAGAAGAGAGCTGGGATGCACTTGGAGCACCTCTGGCCAAGTACTTTCAGCAGGAGATAGAGCGGCTGGGAGCAGGGTCTCCGCCTGCAGCACACACTCCCATGCTGGGGCAGGAGGCTTGGTTTTAGACAGTGACTTTGCATTTGCCCTGGAGTGGGGAACTGCATACAGACAGCGGCTGCAGGGCAGCTCAGTTGTTCCACCCTTGTTTTTCCCAGTCTCAGAGACTTCCCAAAGAGGTGCCCTGATGTCCCCCTTCCCAGTCCTGACCCAGCATGTGGCTCTCCTCAGAGCCCGGCTCAGCTCCTGTGCAGAGCACAAGTGGCAGAGCAAGAAGAGGAGGGGCTAAAAGGCAGAGAGGGGGTAAGGAGAAAACTCTCCAGCTGCAGCTGGGAAGTGGACAGGGATGAAAAAGCAATTAATGTTTTGGGGTGAAGTGGCAGGGTCTTCTCCTTGGACCCTCAGCTACCAACTGAAATGTCCCAGAGCCAATGACTTACGCATCAGAGTGACCGAGAACGGCTTTCCAGAACTCTTTGATGGTCTTTCCTCCTCCAGATCCACCTCCCAGAAGTATTTCAGGGCTACTTTGCCTGTATTGGACATCTGGAAACTGAAAAACAAGGAGGAGGAATAAAAAGTATGTACTAAAGTAACACTGTATGGTGGGCTTCTGGTACCACCTTCTGCTGAGGAACGTCTTCTTCTCCAGGCAACTCTGCCACGTTCAGAATTGCTGCTCTGGGTGGCCCAAACAAAGTATTTCAAAGTCTGGAAGTTTAGGGGGAAAGGGCCAACATGGTGCCCAGCACTCACGTGCTTATCTCTGTCTTGAAGGGCTCAGTCTGCTTCATCTGAACCTCGATGGTGTCCAATTTGAACTTGGCATAGTCAACCTGAGCACTGAGGAAAAGCTCAACCTTGCGGCTGCTCTTCTCCAGGACGGTGTGAGGTGGTTCCGGGACTGCCTTGGCCACCTGCAGGCAGAGGAGGGAAGAATCACTGAGCAGAGCCCAGAAAGCCAGGCTGAGCTGAGAAATCCTTTGGCCTCCAAACTCAGCCGCATAGAAAGGACATTCAGGTTTATTTCCCTGGAAAGATGACAAAACTGGACTGTTGTACTACAGTATTGGTTTCTACCCACTGATCAAAGCAGTCACCACCACAGCTATTAATACACTCATGGGGATTATGGCCAGCTGTCAGTCCCAGTGCTTCAACCCTGTAGAGCCTCTGACCTTTTCCCTGGTCCCCTATAAATCCAGCAGGTCTCAAAGTTAGGATTAAGTTCCCCTGCTGGAGCCCTGTGGATGGAGAAGCCCAAGACTGACTAGTCCTAGAAAGAACTTCCTTCTCGTCTTAGGAGAAAGTGCTCTCCAGATGGCACATGGGGGGTGGGAGCTGGCTGTGGGCATTTTGGGATGCGAATGATCTCACTGGGAAAGTCTCCAACTGCTGATGCTCTGATGGGGAAGTTGGGTTTACAGGACTTACAAAGTTCTCAGAAAGAACCTTCACCAAGACAAGTGTGTTTGGCAATAATGATAGAAAAAGCAAGAGTTTCTGGAGATGATGCTTCTCCAGACTCCTGCACAGTGCCTGGGCTGCTCCATAATGAGATATCCCCCACAAGACAGAGGCCACACCCCAAATCTCTGGTATCGGTGTAGGCAGAGCTCGGAGCTCACTGGTGTACGCGGAAGAGCACTTGTGCTGCTCTCCCCTTCAGAACAAGAGACAGAACGCAGTGGAATTAACTCCTTGGGGGTGACAAGGCACCAAATCAGATGAAGAGACTTTAACACTGTCAAATGGGATAAAATCAAACGTGACCTCCCATTCAACACGGGCTGCAACACTTGGCCTGTGGCACAGACCGGCAGTTTGCATGTGGATAAAGGTCTCTTGCCCAAAGGCTTCCCCCTCTGGTGTGAGCGCACCCGCTCACTGCGCATCCGCCTCTCCCTAAAAGGCACTGCTGGTGAACCTCCCGGCTGGAGCCAATGCCCAGGGGAAGCAGGAGCTGCTCTGCCAGCAGCGCTGGTGCTCTGCTGCTGTCGGCAGGTCCTTTTGCAGAAGCTTGGTTAGCTTTTGCTGTTGTGCTTCTTACCTTCTCCTTGATAGGCCAGCGGGCTCCTGGTAATCTCTCAGTGGTGTCCTCCCATTTCTCAGTGTACATTCCATCGTCCCAGTTGTAAACCTCTTCTGGTGGCAGCTGGTATTTGATCTTGTCCACCTTACACTTCACAGAGTGCCTTTTGATGGTGACCTGGACTTTGGATTTCAAGGTCACTCTGATATCCTTGGCACAGCCAGGCTGGAGGTGTCCCACCTAGGGAGAACCAGAGAGTCAAGACCAAACTGGAATCACTGGCAAGGGCAGCACTGACAGCAAAAGGGATTGATATGGCGAGCAGCCGGGAATCTGCACCTCAGTGAGGATTTATGTGAGATTTGATAAAGCAAAGTATCAACAGAAGGTGCCACCTCCTATAACACGGAGCCTTTTCTGCTGGGCTGACAGCCCTGCCCCAGCAAAGACAGGGATTGCATCTCCTGCATGGCACTGGAATGGGTTCTCACTCTGGTGACTCCCTGCCAGCTCCCAGGAACACCGGGAAAGGGCTTGAGCAACTGGGAAAGGCAGGGCTGTCCCAGCTCACCTTGGGGGAGAACCGGAATAGGACGTCTGCCAGCCACTCAAACCGCATCACCTCCTTGCTGCGGTTGGTGACTGTGAAGGTCTTCTCGCAGAGCTCCCTGACTGCACAGTCCCCGAACTCTATGTGATTTGCTCTGATAGCTGTGAAGAAGGAGAGCAAGAGATCTCAGCATGCAGTGAGGTCCATCCGCCCCCCTCACGTGCAGAGACACGTGTATGTTCAGCTCTTCCTTGCACCAAGCCTCCCTCCCTCTGGGGGGTCCCCAAGCCCATGGCTGTGCCTGTGCCCAGTGACAAGGAGCACAGCAAACACTCCTCTGTGTGCACGGCTGGCAAGCTCACAGGCCCCCAAGTCCAGTGGGTGACAGCCCAGCCCTGGTTAGAGAGAGGACGTGCATGATCAGACATTTTCCTCTTCCTCGCTCTACCTTGGCAGCCTCTCCTCTCTTACCCTCAATGATGTCGTCCTCCAGACTGCCCTCAGCATTGCTCTTCTCGCTGTCTTCTGCTAGTCCAGGGACGTTATCAAAGGTGAAGTCATCGTCGTAGCCTTCACCCACCAGCTCTATGTTGATCTCATTGTTGCCTGACAGTGGCACACGGATCTTCCCTTCCACACGTTGGGCCAGGGTGGGTTTGAAAAACACATCAAATTCTGCTGATTGCCCGTGTTCCAGGAGCATGTAGGGCTTCTTGGGATGCTTCTTGGCTGCACAGCAATGAGAATCAGATTTAAGTGATACAGCTGTACAGAGGAAATATTTCCCGGGGTTATACGAGGAATAAGAGGTTGGAATCAGTTGCTTCTAAGCAGAGGTTCTCCCACCAGTGGTTCCAGACCCTCTTCCTGTGTTCACAAGACTATGCCACCATCACACATATCACCACTTAAGCGGCTTAACCTCAGGTTAACGCCCAGCCCTCATTCCATCTGCTTCCAGCCAGCTCCTGCCGTATGGAAGGCTGAGCCAAGGAGTGGTTTTGGCTTCTGCTGGCTGGCTTGTGTGCTCAAGGGCTGCCTCCGTTCAGGCTGGTACCTTCCCACACGCAGCAAAGACCTCAGCCAGTCCACTGAGGTGGTGATAGTCCCCCACAGCTCAACCCACCGTGTCTCGAAGAACAGAAAAACTTCCTACAACTTACTAGGAGGAAACCCCGCAAGGAATCCACAAGAAAAGCTCGGGGGACAGAGAGACCAAGGAAAGAAACTACGTCTAACATGTGGCTGCTGCTTAGACAAGCCAAGATCAGGGCACACCTTTTCCCTCTGTGAATGATCACGCTGCATGGTTAATGAATTTACCTTTTCCAGTGGACTCTTCTTCCATGTCTCCAATGTGGAAGGCACGGAGTGCGGACTGCGTGCCTTTCATAAAGAAAACTCCCTTGTCATCCACGATATGAACTGTAAACTGAGAAAAGGGAACACGGAGCACAATGACATTGGTGTGAGTAGAGGCTGGCACGTGGGTTGAGCCCGTACGGCCGCTGGTCCAGCACGGGGAAGCCAGACCACCTCCCCACCTCAAACACAGCGCCCAGCACAAAGGTTAAGTGAAGTCACACAGGGGAAAAAGGGTGTTCAGAAGCATATGGATAAACAGGACAGACAGTCATGAGCAGAATGTAATTAAACCACAACTAAGTTTAATTAAAATGGAGTCAACCAGTATCAAATGCAATCTCACGGAACTGGGACATCATACATGCCCACATGAGAACAAAATGTGAGCTGGGAGATGGGGGGAAAAACACCCCACCACCTTTCTTGTGTTGTGTTCAACTAAAGAGGAAAGACTGGACAGAAAATCACATTTTTTGGGACCTTTGCTCCATGGGACAAGCACTTGTTCCCAGCCCAGAGCATTCCCTGAGCAGGTGCTTACCTCTGTGGGTATGACGCCATCGTTACGAAGGACCAGGGGCAGTGTCTGTGAATCCCCCAGCAGGAGCCTCCTGAAGCGCAGCACAGGGTTTCCTCTCTTGCTCCGAAGGCCCGGGCACTCGACTGTCACCTGAGGCACGTGCCCCTCTCCACTGATAGTGAAGGTCAGGTGTTGGGGTTTCGTATTCACAGAGCTGCTGGAGAGGCACAGAAACCATTTCAGCCAGAGCCTTCCAGAATAACAGTTCTAAATAATTTCCCTGATTTGAATCATGCTGTACAGCAGATAAATAATGAAGCACCAGATGAGACGTGGCAAATCCTCTGGCTGCAGTGATATGAGACATATGCAACAAGCAAAAGCACACCATGAGAACAGTACAAAGGCAAGAAGGGAAAACCAAACCAACAGCACCATCAGTAAAGATTATTTCCAAGGCCACTACAAAAGGAACTGCTTGTTAGGGCAGAAAGCTGACTTCCCTGTTCCAATTCAGCCACTAAAGGCTTGGGGAAGGGCAGGTCAGAGCCCCAGTACACAGGTCCCAGGGAGAGGAACTGGGCTTCTCTTTGATAAGAGCTCCAATCACTCCCCTGATATAAAAATAGCTTAATGCATGCAGGGAACCACACAGGATCACTTCCTTTTACAGAAATAAGGAGGAAATCTTGACTTGCTGGCACAGAAACTGCTTCATCTAAGCCTTTTGTCCTTGGAAAGCCCCAGCTCAGCTGTTGCACTTCTCAGTAACTTCCAGCTGGCTACCTAAGGCCCTCTCTTCAGAGTCCCTCACACAGGCTGAAGTATCCTCCCCATTTTTCTGCTCTGCTCTGCCTAACAGTTACTCAGTTACCCAGATCATCTCATGCCAAGTACTCTGCCTAAGAGTACTGAAAGCATTAGAGGTACCAAGAGGAGAGGCAGCTACCAGAACGGTCCCCCCCAATACTTCACAGGGTCACTCACCCTTTTGGGATAACAACGGAAGCTGTGAAAGTACAGTGGTAGTCCTCCTTTTCTTCTGGAGTGAAGGTCACTGTTGCAAAGGCGTGAGATAAGCCAGGAATCTTCATCTCAACAGGATCCAACTTGAAGATGTTGTGGATGAGGCTGTGAGGCTTGGGGGGAACCCACAGTGCAGTGTTAGGAGGAAACATCTTTCAGTGTGACCCAGTACATCCATAGATGCATCCCTGGGAACAGCCCCAGACAGCCTGTCTTGCTTCATGCTTCCCTGGGCAGGCTCCTCCATCCCAGGGGATGCTGACCTTGCGCTAATGCCCAGGCATACAAAAGCTTGCTTTGATGGCTGGGTAGCCACCCCAACACATGTGGGAGGTTGGGGCAGTATGGAAAACCCTGCAAATAACCCAGGACTGGCCTTTCAAGAGAAGGAAATGCCAGGAAATGCTCTGCTTTGAGCTCTGTCCCATCAGTCCGTAACAGTCCCTCTCTGAGTGTGCTTTCAAGAGATGTTCAGGATTCCCACCAAAGACCCAGAAGCGTGAGCCAAAATTTGCTTGAGAGATGTGGAATTCAATGCAAGTGCCCCCCTGGCATTGCTGCTCTGCCCTGCAGTTTGACCTGCACTGAGCTGGACTAGTCCAGCTGGGCCAGAGAATGCAATGACTCTGGAGAACAAGGCAGGCTCTCACATGGCCTTTAGAGAGCAGTGGTCACCTTGGCCTCTTGTTCTTACCTCTCCAGGCAAGGCTTTGATGGAGAGGACCACATTACATGGGATACAGCTGGCATTAGAGATCTTGAAGTGAGCTGTGGCCCGTTGCCCAACCAGAACTTTGGTGAAGATGAATGTGTTATCATCTCTGATGAAAACACCGTTGCCTTGCACTGACTGTAATGTCTGGTGGAGATTGACGTTGCTGTGGATCGGGTACTTCTCAAAGATGGATGTGACATCTTCAACAAGCGCTGCAGACAGACCAGAGGGAGGGCTGAGGCTGGAGAAGCCTCTGCTGAATTTACCTGGACCCAGTTGGCCTCTCAGAAGGCTTGATAAGCCCTTTCTGCCCAGGTGACTGCAAAACCCAGCCTTGGATAAGAGAGCTCAGTCAGTGAGGATGGAGCTCAGTCAACCTCAGTCTTAAAGGGCATTGCTTTCCTTTTATGCTTCCACACATCCCTCCCAGCCTCTCCCCACTGGTGGACTCGAAAACGACTGCAACCTCTGAGGATTTTAAGGTGGGACTTCAGGACCAGGGTGCCTCTCTATCCAAGCAGCAAGTTTAGGTGCTGATCAGCAGCAGGACTGCCCATGGCAACCTGTGGACAGTACGTACCTGGGAAGCAGGACTCGGCAGTCAGGATAAAGGGAACGCCGAGGGGATTGTCCTTGGGGTCTCTGTTGCTGATGTCAATGCACAGCCTCTCCTCGCATTTCCCCTCTGCTCCTGCGTTGCAATCCACTGTGATGTTTTGTTTGCCCCAAGGACCGATGGAGCCGGAGCAAGGGGACACGGTGAACATGCCTACAGTGAGCTGAGCCTGCAGAAAGAGCACCAGGACAGGCTGATGCCTAACAGCCGTACCCTGAACACCCCCAGCAAGGAGGATGCCACGCCTCGGCCTCCAGCTGGGCCCGAGCACCCAGTGGCAGGGCAGGGAAGGATGACTCCACGGCCCAAAGGCAGCCCCAGGATGAGATGAACAAGCCAGGAGGAACTGCACGTCTGTCCCGAGTGGCAGAGAGGAAGGAGTTTGGTGAAAAGAATGAAGGTGGTAGCTGGGATCCTTCAACCTCCAGGGGTACAGGAGAGCAGAAATGACTGAGAGCAATGATGGGAGAGAGGGAGAGGATTGGAAAGAAGAAAAAGCAAAGTTGTCAGTGCTCTACAGATTGGGAGTTCAGATGGGGACAGTTTGCTCCTGTGGTGTTCACAGATCTGTGCTGGCTAGCAGCCACCAAACACAGGACCTGCTCCCCTCTCTTGACCCCACAACTGCAGGTCAGAGCCAGAGCATGGGACTGTCAGTGGAACTGAGCAGATAATGGACTCTCCATCCCGCAGATCATGTCCTATCCCTCATGTCCTATCCCCAGCCTGGGCACAGCTGCATCCTCCCCCATCCCCTGCAGCACCACATGCTGGGGAGGAGCAGGAGCCACCCACCTGTGTCGAGTGCGTTTTTTCCCTGACCGAGGGGGCAGATTCCTCTTGCTGTGAACTGAGAGGAGAAAGCAGAGATGTGTCATGCTGAGCTCCCCTGCCTTTGTCTGAGGCCAAAGCTGGCCTTCCTCCCCATGGAGGAAAGCCTTCCTGCTCCCGATGGCCCCCGGAGAGCTGCCTGCAGCACCCATTGCTGCAGCTCATGGACAGAGCAGCTCTGTCACCAGCTTTGTCCCACACATGGGGATACTGAGGTGTTTTTTTGCTCCCTCTTCCCAAGTCAGTGACCCAAATGGACAATAACCCAGGTCTGGCTGCCTGTCACACACCAGCTGTGTGGTGGTGCCTCCTCAGACAAGAAAGGCTGGTGCAGGTCTTCTCTTACCTTTGCAGTGGAGGTGCTTGGTGGATGAAGAATTTGAAGTTGAGGGCGCCTTTGTTCTCTACAGTTAAGACCTGGGTCTTCTTGGTGCCCTTAATCATGGTACCGAAGTCGATGGGCGAGGCAGGCTCGATGCTGTACTTGCTGTACACTGCTCTCGCCGACACCCTCACTGGGATGGTGGCAACAGTCTCACCTCCTTTACCCACTTGGGGATCAAAGACCTGCAACCAAAGGAGGGGTTGGTAAACACAGCAGAGGCCAGTCTCTACCCCTGTCCCCTGACCCCACCCCAGGTCTCCGGCAGCTCACCCTCCCTATTTAAAGGCCTCTTCCAGAGCCAGATTTCCAGCTCTCTTATGAAGCCTCCCAAATGGTTCTGGAAGTTTTTGTTTGTGTATGTAGGAGAGAGGATGCCCCAGCTAAAAGCTTCTTTGCCAAAGACACCTCTCCTGCTTATGCTCCCAAGACACACTGTGCTAATATAGCCGGGCCCTGGCAGCTCACCTGGCAGAGCAGGATGGGTTTGCTCTTGAGAAGCATTTCAGTCATAGGGTGGAAGAGGATCTCAACTTTCACAGGTGGCTTGGAGGCTTTCAGCACACCCTTCTGTGGCTGGACAGTGAAATGAGATTTCAAGTCACCCTTCTTGGAACTTCCAGTTGTCAGTCTGAAACTGTGGAGAAAGGGAGAGAATGAAGACCTCTGCAGTTGAAAGTACAGGTGCCACCAGCACAGCCAGGACTTTGCATAGGACCAGAAAAAAAAGAAAAGGGAGCAGCACGGGAACAGGTTCTAGCCATGGACAGAGGGAGAACGCAGGCCTGGGAGCCTGAGGAAAAGCTCAGCACCAGGCAGCTGGACTCACCTGTACTCAATGTCATATAAGCCTTTGTTCTTAAGACTGAGGACTTCCTTCTTATTATCAAAGACATTAATGGTTCCAAAATTCACGCTGCCATCTGGACCTGTAGAAAACCCGCAGAGTGAGGTAAGAAATGGTGAATATTTGTGAGCTGCTGCAGAGCACTCCCAGTCACAAGCTACATAGTTGGAGTTCTTGTATGGCACAAAACCCTCTTCAGCAAGTGTCCCTTCTCAGAAGTGTTCTCTAGCTACTTGGCTGCCCTTTCTCTTCTTACTCCCAAGTATCTGCAGGGTAGAAGCCAAGGAGCTTGGTTTCCATTTCCTTGCTTCCAAGCACAAATCCAACTGCTTTATGTGCCGTGCTGAGCCTTTGGGCATTGCCAACTGCCTGTTCAGATGACTGTTGTTTCAAAGCACCAAATGCAATCTGCACATGAAGCTGCACATTTCCAAGTTCAGACGGGAGAGACTCAAGGCTGTTGGTGCCCTGACAGTGCTTTACTTCACGCAGCTTGCAAGGTATGAGCTTTATGGATCTGTGCCACCCTTGCCTGCTATGCCATCCCCTCCCAAGGGCTTTGGTTGCCCACCTGCCAAGGTAGTAAAATGCATCTGGACTGTGTTGTCTGGGAGGCATCCACTGACCTTCAGGCATGTTGATGCTCAGACTGACATCACAGACCTCCACAGAGACTTTGATGGTTTCCGCATGAACAATGCCCAGGATGTTTTCTGTATCTGAAACCTGAGGCAGCAAGAAACAAACACTGCTTAGACCATTCTTTTGGAAGACAGCCTCTAAGTCCTTGTCTCTGCCAGCTGCTCCCCCCATGGCCTCCCTGGCTTGACAAGCGTTTGTGGACTCCCAAGCTTCCCTAACCTGTCCATTTCACAGGCTGCCCCAGTGGGATTCTGCTGCAGTAAGAAACCTTATCACACTCCCACAGCAGGGAATGGTGCTGCTAAAGCACCCTTGAGAGGGCCAGGGCTGTAAACACAACCACAAGAAATGTGAGGTGTCCCAGAGCAGGTGGCATTGACAATTAATGCCCTCCTCTTCAATCACCTCGCATGCTTACTGAAATGCAGCCTCTAAACCACAGGGAAGAAAATCCCAGAAAGGGTCCAGAGAGAATGCTGGTCTGTACAACCAAACAACAGCCTTCAAGCGTGCACAGCAGCAAGGTGGCTGTGGTACAGGTTGCGGATGCAGAGCCTGGGCACCCGGCCAACCCAGTGCAGAGGCAGAAGTTGGGGTCACAGCACCCCTGTGTCTGTCAGGTGCAGCTCTCTCTGTCCCTAAGAGCACACGGCTGCTTGCTCTGCCCTGCTCTGCCAGGAAGGCCCAAGTCTCTCTCACCTCCACTCGGATCATCTTATTTATGATGCCAATCTTCTCAGCCTTAAAATTCAGTTTAACTTCTAAGTCTGTCCGGGGCCCAACAATGCCCCTGCCTTGTGACACAGAAAAATCTTCTCCAAGGTCCTCCAGCCCACTCAGATGCCATGCCATGGGCAGTGGGCTGTCATTTTTCAGGACCAGGGTCTGGGTGCCAGTCCTGCAGAGACAGGAAAACACTCAGTGTCAGCTGCTTGGTGTTCACACCAGTCTCGCCGTTGAATGCAGCTCGAAGCAGCTCTATCTGAGCCTTTGTCACAAGCCTTGGAGTGCCCTCAGCCATGGGATGACTGACCTGTGCAGAAGAAGCTTGTTGAAATGGAGCTCCTGGGGGCTGACCCCCAGCTTCACATGCACCCCTTCGCAGCACAGTCGGAACACCACTGGCTCTGCGTTGTCCTTGACGCGGCAGATGAGACTGTCTTGCATGAGGCCAGTGGAAGTCGGGTATGCCCAAATACTCAGCTTCTGAATCCGTCCCCACAAAAAGAAATACAAAGAGCCCTCCATGAGCAGGAGGAACGGCACTTCTGCGGTGCCTGCCCTACCCACTGACCTCCTACCTTCTTCTCTTTGGGCTGCAGCCTCATGCTGGGAGGGTCCAAAAGGAATGTCTCTCCTTTGCTGTCATTCTCAAAGGAGAAATGGACCTCTGCCTCCATGGGGGAGTTATTGAGGATCGTTAATTTTTCACTGTTGTCGGGGCAGTTCTGTGCCTTGTACCTGTCCAGAGAAGGGGAAAAGGCTGCAGAGGAGACTGTTGCCCTCACCACACACTGAGGAAAGCACCATGTGCTGGCAGCAGGAGGTGGCACTGGAAGACCATGGTCTAACAAGCAGGGGAAGAAAAAGGATCCCTGTCAGGGGCACGAGGCACGGTCTGTGTGCTCATCCTTGCCTGGCTTTGATACCTGCCCCTATACCTGGTGCCTGCACCCCAGAAGCATGATGATGCACAGGCCATTTCACAATATAAATTCAAAAATGCCTGGAAAAACAACAACACACCAGGCACAAGGGTTCTTTCCCCTTCTTTCTTGGGGTGCCTTCCCTGCAGAGGATAGAGAAAGGCTTTGGAAAAGATGTTTTCAAAATAGTTCTGCTTATCTGTTTTAGAAAGTCGTCAGACTAGCACGGGTTATCTCTAAGTGTGAGGGAAAGAAATCAAAAGCATCAATTCCCAAGGGGAATGTGAAAGATAACAAATGACTCTTCCCTGAGGTGTGCAACTGAATTTGGAGTGAAAGGGTTAAAGAGGCAAACAGAAATCTCAGACCATCCATCAGCCTGGCCCTCCAGAGCTCCCATGGAGACAAGAACTTAACTTCAAATATTATTAAAAAAATAAAAACAAGAGTGACATTAAAACCAGAAATGTGCCAACAGCTACAGTGACAACATTTTTAGGCAGACTTTTTCCAGCACTGCGGATGCAATGGAATCTCAGGAAAATGTAATTCCTGCTGTAGGTTCCCCTCTGACACACACATATTGGCAGGTCAAATCACAAAATCTCACTACTATTAGAGATTCATGCAAGGTTTACAAAACCATCTAGAGAATACTTGCTCGTTTAGTCTACCTGTAGAGCTCAAAGCACTTGAAAAAGCACCATAAAGTTCGTTTCCTAAGGGGTGGAGCTGAGATGTGGAGGGGGACACAAGTTGCCCCAAGTCACCTTCAGGCTGACAGCAGCATGTGGCTCTGGACACCAGGGCACCCACCAGGTTGGCAAAGCAGCTCCTCCAAGGCTCATTTGCCTGTTGTCTGCTCACAGTCACACATCTGTGGTCCCTCAAGCCCATGTGTCTCCCAGGTCTCTGCCCGGGACTGCCCTGCATTGTGCCACTGGGACAGTGTGTCTCCAAGTGTGTCCAGGAGAGCACAAGGCCCTGGAGATCCCCTCCCGACATCTCAGTCTGTACAGGCAGCACACAGGGATGCTCACTTGGGAGCAGGGAGCACATACCACTCTCTTGACTTCCCACAAAGCAGCGGTCCAAAGTAGAACTGCTTTGTGCTCATGACGTACTCCTTGATGATGATGTCCTCCTTCTCCTTGGTCTTCCTCCAGCGAGGAAACACCAGCCTGGGCAGACAAAATGGGGAATGAGGAGCTCTGACATGCTCCAAGTAGGAAATCTAGTCAGAAAGCCATCACCCTTCCTGGTGGCTGAGGTTCAGCCTCCCAGCTCCCAGCAGAGGAAGGGATGCTGGGTGCCTCAGGCAGCACCATCTGCCCCAGCCAGAAGGTCACAAGGGGCAGCCCTGGCTCCAGGTCAGGGGGAGCAGTGTGGGATGCTCCCGTGGCCCAGCCTTACCGTGGGTTCTGG